ATTGGAATAAAACTTACTTATGTATATTTAGTGTTTAATCGTCGCCACCGTAGAATGTTAAAAGTAAACCGTAAGAGTGACAGCTTCGAGTGCTTCGAGTGTAAATATAACCGTTAGGGACCTCGTGACACGTACACACACACACACACACACACACACTCTCTCACCTCTACACACCTTTCAAGCGCCTTAAGTTGGGGGGCACTGAGCAAATAACTTGGTCGCAATAATAATCGTCGTTTTCTGTTCTTTCCTTCCACCGTTCTTGTCTTTCGCCTTTCGTTTTCTCCTGCGCCACGGGTCGAACCGGGAGAGAAGGAGAGAGGGGTTTATAGAGAGAAAATATAGAAAATATCGCGATTCGAAGGTTTCGACGTTTTGCCCTGATAATTCGCTGGCGGACTGACGTGCGAGATAGACGGAGAAATCGAGAGAAAAGGGAGGAAAAGGAGAAAGTGGCGTCGCTTCTAGGTTCCTCCTCGTCCTCCACCCTGACGAATCGCGGGGATCGCATCGCTGGTCCCGGTTAGGTTCCTCCTCGTCGCGGACACTGTTCAACGTCTCGCGTTTCCGTTGACAGCCTCGCGCTCGCGCGGACCGGAGGAAAGGTACGGAGATCCTTATCGCGCGCTGCAATTTTTCACCAAACTTTTGCAATAACCCCGACACCGAGCATTAAGTACCTTGAACTTCCTGCACTTGCAGTACCTAGGCAGAGTCCGCTCCTGGCAATAATCGTCAATTTATCTCGAAGCGTGCACAGACGGTAAAAAGACGGGAACCGACGTTCACGCGCGGGCTATACGTTATGGAAGAATTAAATCAATAACCGACGCACGGGGGTGCGAGAGAATCGAGGGTTTTTACAGATTCGGTAATAAAGAGTAGAAAAGCGGGGAAAAAGGTGGAAATAGAGGGAAGATAGAGGGAACGGAGAAAGAAAAGAGGGATTGGGGAAGGGGATCGTTAAAGGAGGTACACGCTCTCTCTTCTCTCGGATACGAGGAGGAAGATAAAGATGACGAAGGACGGTACTTTCGTGCCTGCTCGCAGCGTACTTCTTAGGATACTTTATGGTTCCTTTGTGCAGCGGAGCTGCATGCTGCCGACATGTCAATGACAACGGCGCGCCGAGTGTGCACCGAGATCGTCGCGATATCGCACGCTCGTTCTAAATCGTCGCCGCGGCTCTCCACTGGCCCCGACCCGTATTCGCGCGCGTTTTATTAAACCCCACACGCGCCCTGGCTCCCCTCTTTCCGTACATTCCTCGCGATATATTCGTCGTTATTTCAATTTTCACCCGCGATAGTTCACCTCGAAATCGTAATAATGGGTCGAGTTAGGGAGACTTTCCTCCCCCCGCTCGTTTGTCATTAAACTCCGCGGTAGTTATCTCGACCTTTCTATACCCGTGCTCGAAAGAAAAACGCGGATCAAGAACGCGTCCCTTTTCATCGTTACCACTGCCGACCGTTTCCTCGGGAACTCCATACAGAAAGAACAATTTCTTCGACAGAATGGCTCGCTAGGACGAAGACAGAGCGGCTCTAAAAGCCCGAGACTCGGGATGCTCCGTTAACAAAAGCTGTTCGTGAAAGAACCTCGATCGAGCATTGCCCTTTCGAACGCACCTCGTTCCACGGTATTAACATCGACCAAGAAACTCTGCGACCTTCCCGCACGGGTCCTAGACGAACCCGGATTACCATACCGCCGCGACTTCTGTTTCCTGTGGCGCGCCCTTTACGAGCCCCTAATTTTTTATTTCCATGCGACGATACGCAAACACGGTCCGGCGATGTCGTTCGAGACACGACGCGATCGGTTCCGCGTCGCTGCATGCGATACGGAAAAGACACGGGGTTGCGACGAGGGTGGGTTGCAGCGAGACGAACCGAGGAAACCCCCGAGCATAAATCAGCCGTTACAACCCTTTCCTCGATCCGACATGAGAAACGCGGCAAGAAGCGCGCCGATACCGACGTCGGGCACAGGAAAAACTGGCCCATCTTTTACTCCACGAGGATTAAGGGAGGAAAAAAATGGAACGAGTGGGAGCTATAGTGAAAGTCCG